GCCCACAGGGACACAGTGGGGCTGTCAGGACGTGCAGGGTTGTGAGGCACTCCAAGACACTGTTTCAGAGCACTACTGAGTTCACAGACCCTGATCCTCTAGTAATAAATTCCTCATTCTTCCTCTGAAGATAAGGAAACGTAAAACTTTTCCAACATGAATGGAAAACCTGCTGCTGCTAAGTCGGGCTCTCACAAAGCAGTATCCCCATACAAGGTAATGGCACAAAGTTCTGAGCCAGTGTTTGTACGCACTGTGACATTTGTCCTTTACAGAAAGAACCTCTTTTTAATGAGGCCACTCTTCAAGGGAATCCAACTTTCCACACCACTGTGGAAAAGCAGGCGGGATGGCCCATCTGAGATTCAACTTGTTACTGCTTGTGGTCAGGACCTTGTTTCACATTTGTCTTTAAGCTACTTCTGTCCCTTTCCTATCTGAGCAGGTCCAATGACCTCAGCTACAGGAGGAAGCATCTCCAGAGCTGAGCATGAAGGCCAGCATTTGGAGGCAGAGAAACGCGAGATCCATTCAAGTGAGAAATTCAGGCTTCTCCTAGATGCTCATCCTCACTGCCTCTCCCCACCTTCCAAAAGGGACAGCAGAGCTCAGGCAGACAAAGATAAAGGCAATACCCCACTCAGTTCTTGCTGCAGGCTTACTTTCTTTAGGGAAAGGGAATTCTTATTGGGTTGAAAAAAAGAGGCGTAAGTCCCTCCTACGCAACCAGAAAATGAAAAACTCTGCCCAGGGAGAAAGGAAACAATTTCAGAGTTAAGACTGCAACACACTAAACAATAAGGATTATTTCAGATTCTGAACAAATCCTGCCTTGAATGGAAAGCAGAGCTGCGAGGACCCACTTGGAACAAGAGCCCCATGTCATTCTGCTGGCATGGAAACTCAACATTTGTTCAAGAGATCAGCTGTTAATCTTACTTAAAATGTATACAAAGTAAGCAAATTCTGTGCATGCAACAGGAAGTCAGAAATTGAAACCACTTGGTCTGCTTGGACCCCCGTGATTCAAACCGACCACTTAACTCGAGGAGGAAGTCTAAAAGCAGAGCAGTTAGACCCAAACACATCAGAAACTTCTCCCCAGTGAAATGAAATCTCATTTGCCAGATGGTCAGGGAATATGGGGCTTCAAAATGTGCCAGAGCATGGCCCAAGCTCCCCACGGCAGGTAGCTGACCCTGTGCCACATCGACTGAGCCAGGGGAGCCCCCACTGGCAGCAGCTTGCAACAAGCACTGCTGCTGAAGCTGGTACTGGCTCCAAGGCAGCAGCTGCAGACATGGCCAGGGTGACCATAATAGGAAGAAAGACACTGGAGCCAAGTTTCAAGGAGCGTGACTGAGCACAGGAGCTTCGGCGTGATCAGAGGAGTGGGGATTCACTGCTCGGGGCAGTGACTGTTGGATGCTTTAAAAAAGCCTGAAAAAAGGAGTAAGAATCAAAATGTGCAACTGCTTCCTGAATGCCGTTTGAAAGAAGGGTATTCTCCCACTAGATTATGGGAACAGGGATACCAAAAACATGCATGCTGAGAGCACAGTCTTAAGACTTGCCTCGCTGAAGGCACCATGTGGCTCAGCCATAGCACCGCTCCTGGAGTTGGCTTCATCATCTCCCACTGAACTCCCAGCATGGGAACATTCACAGTCCCTTCCTTCTTAGGGAGTCTTGGCCTCAACAGCATCAGCAGAAGTGTTATTAGGAAACATGGGCCTGGCCATTCCCATTTGGAGAGCCTGCCAGTAGCGGATCCACACATTTCTTTAGTTTCCCTTTCTTTTCCTTTTTCAACTAGAAAATTAGGCAAAAATAAGGAATATATTTATTGTGCAGGGCTGAATAAACCTTTCAGATGCACTGAGCAGACCATATGCTTACCGCTGTCCTACTGGCAACAGTTATGCAAGAACACAAACAAACCCTAAAGATAGTCATCAAAACAAATTAACGGGCAGCAGCTGGCCTCCAGGCCCCAGGTTTCATACCAGGTCCAGGCAGGAGCTAATCTGGAAAGTGCCTGTTGCTTAGAGGTGGATTAATCTATCAGTAAGCCTCCTTTGCCCTTGTCATTACAAAGTGATGGACAAGAAAAGGTGGTGGGGGATCGTAACTGGATGAGGGTTCAAGTAGAAAGTCATAAAGAGAGTATATATAAATGCACACGAAACTGCAAAGTGGTGTCTGTGGGCTTCGTGTTACCTCGCTGTTGCAGCACATGCTTTTCTTGCTCCGTCTGCTGCAGCCCCATCTCAGCCCATCAGGATCACAATGAGGCACCTGTATGGAGGCAGCGTTCTCCACCAAACAAACGTATATCAAATACACACCCATAAAAAGACCAACAAACCAACCAACCCCACATTCATGCCACAAACTCAGCAGAACTTCGCGGCAGAGTGCAGGCTGTCCTACATCTCTAAATGCAGAAACACAGTGAGATCCATGCAGCACCCTGGCTGTGACAGGAACAAAAAGGGAGTCCCAAGGACCAAGCACGCTGGAGGATAATAATCTAGCAGAGAACATTTAGTTTTGGACTGAACTGATTGATGCCCATAAAACCCAGCTGACTTGGTCCATGGCCATGTAGATGCCTAACTGCTTATCCAACTGCACAGGACGAGGGCTTCAGCAGTAAAGTTTCAAAATCTCTTTGCCCCAAGAAATAAAGGTCAAACCCAGTACACTACAACTCAAACATGAAAGCATGACAGGAAATGACTAACTGCACACTGAGGCCAATTTACCTTCGTCTTGGATCTACCCACTACACAAAGATCTTGCAATACAAACAGACATCACAGCTTCCAAGCAGAAAAAAAGAATCAGGCTGCTCGAGGTGCTTGCTTTGGGGTCTGTGCATCTCAGTACGGACATCACTGCAAAACAAAGGCGTTCTGCTTTATTTCCCTAATGTTCTCTTACAATTCCAGCTCAGTGCTGTAGTTTTTGTTTCCCCTAGCTGTTTTCTTACATGAGGATAAAGCCGCTCTTAGTTCAGAAGCGATGAATAATTTAGATTTCTTTTTACAAAGTGTTTTGTAGTCCCTGAATAAAAGATTATGTCTCTGCTTTGCACGGGAGCTTCAAGCTTGCCTCTAAGCATGCATCCACATTGGCAGGATGCAAGGGACAGATGCAGCCACGTGCATGCTTTGTGCACCTATGCTGAAAAGCAGTCCTGCATGGTCTGAGCCCATTCCTTATTAATCACCTTCACCTGAGAGCCTGACAGCTCTTTTGTTGATTAAGGATCCACTCAACTTTAGTTTTTGTTGTTGACATTTTTTTAATACACAAAGTAACTTTGATCTACAGGAGCAGGAAAAGACATCCAGAACAGACACATTTTATTTAACACATGCCTATTGCTTCAAGGACAAAGGGATTTTTTTTTTTTTTTCCCCAAGTTTGGTCAAAATATTCTCTTTTTGAGTCAATTCCTGTCTCCGTAGTCTGAACATTCATAGTTGCCTCCTGCACATAACAGCGATGCTGAGGAAGGCGGATGGCACTGCATCTGCACACAAAACCAGCAGAGCAAAGCAAAAGCCAATGTGATCAGGGAGACGCTGCACTGCCACGCAGCTGCCTTCTTGATGTCTGATCGTCAGCCAGGGGCCTCTTTGCCCTCACTTCTGCAACAGCCTGCAGTCCTCCCTACCGCACTTCTTACAGCTGCTGTGTCCCTCGCAAGCAAAGGCAATTACAGCTTTGTAACCCACAGCATGCGAACACTTCGAAATCTGGGGAAGGACTGAATCCTGGCAGAGGCAAGTTGTCTCAGGTTACCATCCCAAGAACTGCTCGCCTGTGGTCTGAAACACAACTAAGATTCTCTGTTGCCTGGGAGATGCTGCATGTGCCAGCTGCAGCCATCCCGAAAAAGGCAGCGCTCCCAAGGACGGCAAGCCAAGCTGAGAAGGACATGGCATGGGAAGAGGGAGGCCTCCTGGAGCCACTCTCCTGTCAACGTAGACATGAAATAAGTTTCAATCTTCTACAGCTAATGATCTCTCTGCTAAGTGATCTGGTCATCAATGGGTCTCCTTGGTAAAGCATTTCTCGCTGAGATCTTTTAAAATTAGTCTGAAGCACTGCACATTTTTCAGCTGTAGAAGTTGTGATTATTATGTGAATACACATTCTACACAAAGCTTCTTAGAAATAACCCACTGCAAACACTAAAGATGAATTTGCAGAAAGCCACATGCTTTCCAGTTTTTGCCATACACTGTGATGTGAAGACTTTGGTCGTACTTCTGAAAGCAAAAACTTGCCACGTCCAAAAGATGCAATGGAAGCAGCTATTATAAATGGTCACAAACCCAAAATCAAGTGTAAATGCCTCTGCATCACTCACACAGTAAACATGGAGTCCCCAGTGTGTGGAGGAGCCCACCCCACAGCTGTGCTGCAGCCCCATGCCCTGCTGCTGGCAGGTGCCACCACAAAGCACATGTGCTGACTGCCCAGAAACTCAACAGCTGAAAAGCGCTCCTTTGCTGAGCAAACACACACAGATAAGAAAGAGCAACACTAACCAGCCCTCTGTCCAGACCTGTGGCTCATTCACAGATCCTCATCTTCTTGCTTGAATTTACAAGGAGACCCACATAAAACAGATTTAAAAATAAAAAAGGGAAACATCCAAGGCTTCCACACAAAGACCAAGAAGAGCTGATGTTTCAGCCCATGATGCAGAAGATGCAAAGCAATGTCCCATTTCTTTGCTGCAGAGGAGATGCTCCAAACTCTTTCCCTGAAGGAAGCAACAGCAAGCTGCTCTCTGCCAAGAGTTGCAGAGCTCCCAGGGTTGTCTGCATGCTCCTGCACTTCAGGCTTCACTGCAGCAAGAAAACATCAGCACCCTACAACCCTCTGCTCTCCTCATGAATCAGACCAAAAACCAATCTACCCACAGACAACGTGTCCTAAGTTGGCAGAGCTGGGAACCCAAACCTCCGGGCTGTTGTTACCTTGCATGGTGGCAGTGAAGGATCTGAGCAGAGCCTGAGGATGAGCTGGGGTGGCTCCCACTGAATCACAGTGCAGCACTCACAGCAGGTGCAGAGCAAGGGACTCTCTCCTGTAAGTCAGCACCTCGCTCACAGAACGCTCGAGTGCTCGCCCAGGAACAAAAGCAGCCACATCATAAACCAGAGGGTGACATCAGCATGGGGATTGCATTTCCTGCACGGGTTCAGATTTCATTACTTGTGACATGAAATTGGACTCTTACAATTTGAGTTACTCTATATTTTCATGAGGGGCGCAGGAATCCCTGATTCCAATTTGTTGGATATAAATTGCTTCTCAACCTCCTGAAGACAGCAACGCTCACTGATTTCCACTGGAAATGGTCAGTGCAATTTGTACAGCACCATCCACTTGGGACCCAGCTGTTCAAAATCCCTGGACTGCTCTTTTCCCTTCTTATTCCAAGCTCTGCTTTGCATCTCCTTCTGAAATTAAAGCTCAGAGCTATCAAGGATCTGACAGCATGTATTTCATCACTCTTGGGTTGAGTCATTGTTTCGGAGCATGAAGCATGATGCAGTGTGTGCTTATGGTCCAACACCTCTGCCAACATGAAGTGCATTTGCAATTTTCCACATACAGCTGCTCAGGCTCTCCAAAAGCAACACATCCAAGACTCCTATACAAGCCCAACGGGCCAGAATTAATCTTCCTGTGTATTACATGATGTTTGCACAGGGTTGAGAAATACTAGAAATAAAAGTTCTCTTGGCTGAGTTACATGCAACACAGTGTACTTTCTGCTATTAATGACTTCAGTAAGTACCTCTGACACTCCACATATTCCAGAAACCTCTTATTTAGGCATCACAGCAGTTTTCTTGGTAGGAAAGCGTTCACTGAGTTAAAGGTAGCCACTGAAATGTCTTAAATTTTAATTGCTGTCTTTTCTATTTGAAGAGTTTTATGTGCTTGGAGAAGAGGCAGGTAGTAACTAACCTTCACCCAGGACACAAACTGAAGATTAGTTTGCTCGGAAGGTGGTTTAGCTCCCTGACATCCCATCACAAACACCACAAATACATACGATGACCCAGTGCAAGACCATAAACACCAGAGTGCTCAGTTTCCATGGACCTGACATCTCGTTCCTCTCACAGGATTCTTGCTTGGTCAGTTCCCCAGCAGCTGTCATCAGCAGAAGCACTACTTACCCTTACAACACCTGCAGGGCATGGAGCTGATTTATCTCCCTCCTGGGATTTGCACCTCAGAGGGTTTTGGCACAGGGCAAGCTTGGCAGAGCTAAAAAAAGGAACCAAGATCCATATTGCTGGCCAGCAACGGAACCAGAAAGCTTCCTTCTCCTCCCGAGACGCAGCAGCATGGAAAACATGATGCCCACTCATGCATGCTATAGACCTATGTCCAAACAGATCCCACAGACTGCTCTCCTTGTGAGAAGCAGGGGAGAAGGAAAGGTTGAGGTGAGCAGACTCAGCACTGTGCCTGACCCCAGGCTCCAGACCTTACATCTGAGCGACGCGGTGTCTTTGTGAGCAGCTCCCAGCACTGGAACTTTGTGCTTTCAAAGCAAGAAGCCAGAGGATAGCACCGCAGCAACGTGGCACATGGAGCTACACTCCAGTTGTGTAGGTCTTAACAGCCATTAGAACCATTTCTTCCTTAACTGAGGGCAGTGGAATTCCGAGGTAAGGTCAAAAGCCCAACAAAAGCAGCTCTGGGCAGTGCCTGGGAGCTCCACTCTGACAATAGTGCTCCGAGGCAGCTCGGGGTCTCCTCCCCCCGTTGTTTTTTCACCACCCTTGTATCCTAAGCACTACGAAGGAATCCTGCCATCAGCTGTGGACCTCAAAGAGGAATTTCTGTCCTTTCAGATAGACATTTACATTGTTATTTCCTTTCTTTTGGTTCATTAGAAGAGCTTAAAAAAAGAAAAACAAAACAAAAAAACGGACATTTCTCCCCTGTAGCGCTGAGCTATTGATACACACTGTTTTGGTAGGAAATGGCATGATCTACATCCACCATCCAAACAGCAAGAGAAATTACCTAACCTCAAACATACTCACACAAGGGAAATCCTGTGGGCTTGGATCATTCGAGAAATAAGCTTGCTTTACAACTACAGGAACAACACATGTCCAGAATGGCCTCTGTGCTGCTAAGATACAGTTTGAAAAGTCAACTGCCAGTTGTTTCTGCTATTTGCACTTTATATTTAAAAATCTCCCAAAGACTTCAGGAGCCAGAGCTCAGCCTGGAAAGGATTTTTATGGTTGCACTGCAAGCCCATGGAAAGCAGGGATCTCAAATGGAAAGAGGCCATTACAGCAGACATCGCTCCCTGGCCCTGCCTGAAGCAGCTGGGATGATCTCTCCAGGTAACCAAATTACTGCTACTAAAACCCATGCTGATATTGAAAGAAATTTGGAGAAGATGCCAAGTCGTCACTCTTATTTCCATGTAACAAGATAAGAACATTAAGAGTTTCTAAGTAAGCACTTGAAATTCGAGTAAACAGATTTTAAATATCAAGACCCTATTTACATTCCAGTGTAATAATTAAATATTTAATATCTTGTGGTTCCAGCATTCTAGGTTTTTCTAAGCACCAAAATATTTTGTCATGTAAAAAACATCTGCAGCAGCTGGAAGACATCAATTTGGCCTACAAAAGATTTGTTAGTTTAAATACACATAAATAAAACGTTCATTTTATTTCCAAAAAGCTAACACTGCTTGGTTTAGTTTTATTAGGGTGCTTAGTGAATAATGCTTAATACTGGCAGGGTGTATCAGAATCTACAGTGGCACAAACACACATAGCTATCTGTTAACTAAAACAAGTCTTGTATTTAGTTAGAGCTGGTCTGTATTGACTCACCCGAATCATGCAGAGCAATAGGAAAACCAGCTTGTTAATAGTTGAATCCCTAGTTGTATTCTTTCTCCTAGGTTCCCAAGTTCCCAGCACTGAAATCTATCTAAAAAAAAACAGACAAGATGAAACTTCTCTTCTGAGCTGGGATTCAGATATCCATGGTACAGAACACCAGTGTCTATGCATGCCTTTTCTCCCCAAGAAGCTCCTGCCTAATCTTAGTGCAGCGTTTTAAAAATAAATCAAGTAAACAAGGGGCACTGCTGAGATCATAAAAGGAAGTTGAATTTGGCTTCGTACGCACAGGGATCACCTTTCTGGGCAACAGTTTGCAAAGGGTTATTTATTAGCCGCTCATTTTACTTCTGCTGGAAGATGCTGAGGCTTTACTGAAGTTTCTGCAGAGCACACAGCAGCATTCAGCGTTTGCTCAGCTAATAGTTAAATCACTGCAGCTCTCTGATGACTTGAAGATTATGGGTGTAGGAAAAGGGAATGCTCAGCAAGGGGAACTTTCAGCAGCCACCACCAAACTGTGGTTAAAACAGACACCAATGACTCCATTCAGCTCCCAAACCTCAGACAGTTTCCATTTTCTCAATAACAAAGCATTTTTGTGGGGTGAGGTAACAGGCCTCCATCTGCCAGGTCTAACTCTGCTATGATTCCTTCCGAGCGTGGCTGAGTGAGGCCCTGGGGCCAGCAAGCACAAGGCTGGCGTCCCAGACATCCAGGGACAAAGGGACAGACGTCGAGAAGAAGCCTCCTGGGACTGTCCCTCTGGTTCTGCTGGGAGACGGTGGCAAAAAAAGCCTCAGATGGGCTCCAAGCAGAGCACAGCTGGAGGGCTCCAGGGGCTGAGGAAGGAGAAAGACTTTTCAGTGAGGCTGGACTGGAGCAGAAGGCGGATGGATGCTGGGGGTTCAGTGGTCAGCCATCCATCACACGCAGTCAGACACACAGAGCACCGGGGTTTGGAAGCAATGTGGGTCTTTGAGCACACATTACGAGACACAGCACAAACAGAAACGTAGCCTCCCCACAATAAAATGCTTCAGGGATCACCATGCGGGCAGGGCTGTTCCTTCCCCACCAAACTGCTGAGCTGAGCCTCAGAGCAGAGGGCAGGAAGGATTTTGGTTCTGCTCTTGCTTTGTTTCTGCATTTGGCAGCTTGTATATATCCCAGCATCTCAGTTCCAGAAGCACCAAGCACCATTTGTTTCACGTCAGCTCAGCTCCTCTTATGAGCAGACCCTTCATGCAGTCCCATGAAGCCTCCCATCAGGAACTCCGTGCCCAATTCTTTCCCATCTCTTGAAGCTTGGCCATCCACCCTGCCTAAGGATGGAGAACACGCAGCAGAAGGCTCCCTTGTGCAAAGGTAAAACCCTCAGAACAGCAAGGCAATGAGCACAGCTGAGCTCGGAGGGAGAGGTGGCTCCACAGCATGCAACATCAGGAAAGGAGTTTTATGGAATCTTCTGATCTTCTGCTATGTTTCTTTCCCCTCCAACCCCTGTCCCTGCATATAGAAGTCTTTGAAAACCAATGCAGGAAATTGTGCCAGACACGGCAGCAGCTGGTGAGAATGGACGAGCAGCAACTTGGGCAGGTCAGGACATCCTGAACACAGCTTAGCTCCAACTTGTGTAAATAGCACTGCCAAGGGCTCTTATTCATCCCGCTCGGATCCCTCATTCTGCCTGTGCGACAGATGGCAGCTGAGCACAAGTTTTAAGAATGTCAATTCAGAGGGATTAGGAAATATTTACAGAAAATCCATCCTGATTGCATTATTTTAGTCTGGTACGTCAGGTTTTATATTTACAAGGACAACAACAAAGATTCCCAAGTTGAAACTGCCCCAAAGCCATTTTGCGCAAATTTAATTGAAATACACAACCTCCAGATCTATGACATTACTGCAATACAAAGCAAGAATCAAGGAGGACAGAAATAACCAACAAACCTGTAAGAACACATGGAGCAGCTCCAACTTTTCTCTCAACTCACCTGCAACCCAAATTGAGCAACGTGCCAATTAGAGAAACTTCACTCCCAGAAATGCCAATTTGCTAAACCTTAACCCTTATTTCTGCAGGTCAGACAGCCTCCATTTCATGCACTGGTGCAAACCGAGGAGAAGCTTCTTAATGTCAGGAGATACAGAAAATACTTCCACAGCTCTGTTGCTACTTTTCCTGACTGGTCTTGCCTCCTATATGTCCAAGTCTTCCCACCATCTAAAGCAAAGGCAATTCTTCAAAGTTGGTTTGGTGAGGGCCTTTGCATTGCTGCGGCTGTTTGTCCTGAAGTTTTGAAAATGTTAACAGTGATCTCATTGCTGCCTAGTTTAATACCAGGTACCCAGATGGATACCTGGAAAGCTCAGCCTTTCCCAGCCATGACAAGACATCTCCCAAGTCTTCCTCTGAAGAATGCTGCTGTCACATCTCAAAAATCCACACTGCTAATACTAGCCCGAGTGCAAGGTCAGCCAAAGAGGACTTCCATCAGAGACGGGCTCTGCTGGAGAAGGCTCCCTGGAGATGGTAAGAATAGCACACTTGATCCCAGATGGCAACAATATGCGGTGCACATTTCCAGCAAATGCAGGGATGGGGCAGAGGACTGCGCAAACTGACCGAAGGCCACCCTGCTTTCTGCCATCTGCTCGCTGGATGCAGGATCCTCAGCTGAGGCCTTTGGGAAAGGTCAGCAGAGGCTTAAAGGCTCTCAAGATATTGCTTTTGTTCTCACTGTTAGCTTCCCAATTCCTTTGTTAAAAGATACAGATCTCTCTGTAAGGCACTTATTTGGAGCCAAGAGTTTAGATATTATTGCAAAACATATGCTTAAAAGAGACTGGAAATGATGTTGGCAGTGTTACAGAGGGGAGCGAAGCACAGCTTTGGGTCAAAACAAAAAAAAAATAAATCTAAGCTAGTAAGCAATTCCCATGTGATGGCTTAGAAGAGCCAGCAAAAGCTTCTTCTAGAAAGAAAACAATACTGTGAGAACGAAGCTAACAAGAGCTGGCTCTTGGAAAAATAAAAAGGCCAGTAATAAGCCAGAGTATTGCCAACAGCACATATCCAAGAGAATCTTTCTGGGAAACCAGCTCAAGTCATTGCACTGGAGAGCCCTGAGGGACTAGGGACCTCGAGGCTAAATGCTGGCAAATTGCTTCATCAGTTAAGGTTGGTTCCAGTGTTTTCTACTGCGTAAGAATAATTTGTTTTAGCCTACAGGTCTCTACAGAGCAACGGGTGAATTCAGGCTGCTTCCTCTGGGAAGGGAAATGAGGTGCTTGGCAAAGCCCTGCTCACATGGGACATTTTTAGGAGGTTTCCCACCATCCCTTCAGCCCACCCTGTCAGCTTTGCTCTGCATTACCCCTCATGCCCCTTTGGGCCACTTACCTGCTGGGAAACCCCCAGCTGCTTCTGCCAGTTCTCCACCAGCAAGAGTTGCCACAAGAATAGGATTGCTGTGCCTCCATAAAAGTATCTTCTGGAGACTCATTCACCCCAAATGGATGAAGTCAGAGCAATTATTCTGATGCAGCTTGTTTTCCAGAGGAATGAAGAGGAGACCGTGCTCTATCTCTGAGAGAGATTAGCTAATCCATCAGGAAAGAGACATACTGATGCAGAGAGATAAGGGAAAGGCTTTTGTCTGAGGTCTTCTCTTTCATTTCCAGTCCACTTACTCATAGTCACAGGAGTATGCAGAGAGTACAGAGACAACAAACGGGATCTCTAAATGTCTTCTAGACCAGCAGAGAAAAATCCTGTGCTGGCAGGGGATGGCAAGACACTACTTATCTTCCTCCTCTTCCAACCCTTTCTCTGATTCATGTTGCCACCTTCCTTCCAATTGACCTAAATAACATGTTCAGGCAGCGCTGGAAGTATTTCCGCCTCATACTTCAATAGCAGCAAGATCTCCACATCTGGAAAGGGTATTGCTCAGGAAAGTCACACCACAGGTGGCTTAAGAGTGCCTTTCCCAAGAAAGGAAGAGAATCATCGTGTCTTGTCTCATTGCACCAGTAAGGCTTCCTGACTGCAGGAGAACAAAAGTTGCCCAGCAGCACAGAAAACAATTGTGCTGCTTGTGCCCAAACCCCAGCTAATCTGAACAATGTGGGCAGAGTATTCAATTACCTCATTTCCAGGTGTGCTGTCAGCCTGAGCCACGATTGGCTTAGGATGAAAGAGGAAAAAGCTGCTCCTAGATCTGGACTTGTCTGCATCATTTATGGTAATTATTGCCCAGCAGCCTGTAATCTTTTCATGTCATATCGCACTCTCAGCCCTTGGTCTCTCTCTACAAACTTTTGATCCCAGAAGAGACTGAAGATCAGAGTGCAGGACCCAGTAGAGTAGCAGGCACGCTGGGCCCCAGTCACAGAAAAGAAAGCAAAGCAAGCTACACTACAAGGACTTGGGCAGTTCAGTCAGCTTCAGATACAAAGCGATTACATGTGCTAACAACATCCAAGCACTTGAAGCAGATGCGTGTCCAAACACTTATTCTACCTGTC